ACAGCGCGGCAAGCTCGAGCTCGCCCCCACGGCGCGCTCTTGCGCGGCCGCAGGCTGCCTGAATTTCTACGTGCCCTGACCGCCGCCTTGTCGACCCCCTCATCGTGGCCGCGAGGCCCTCAGCATCATCATCATCATCATCACCCTCGTCCTCATCAGCACCCTCACCATCGTCCGCATCCTGCCCATCCGAAGATAACGGCCACGACGACGACGGTCACGACGACGACGACGACGACGTTGTCGTCGTCGTCGGAGGAGGACGAGGATGAGGAGGAGGAGGACGAACAGGCGGAGGCGGAGCGCGCGGGGGGGCGCCAGCCAGCAAACGTTGGCTGCCCCACCCGCCGCACGATGAGCTCGGGCGCGCACGCCACGCGCACCCAAAGCGGAGCGCGGGCCCATGCTCTCGCGCGGGGCCACAGCCGCGCGCGCGTCTGCGCGCGCGGCTGCCCGAAAATCCCCGCCCGCGCTCTCTTCGTGGCCGCCCATCCCGAGTCCATCCTCGCTATCGTCCTCGTCAGCGTCTTCGCCATCTTCTGCACCTTGCTCATCGTCTTGCCGCTGATCCTCATCACCCTCTGCATTCTGCACGCGCACCCCGCCCCTCATCATCATGATATCGTATTCACCACCCCCTCAACTTTCTCCTCTAATGACCTTAGCGCCATCATCGTTCCATCCACCATCCTCACCATCATCGCCCTCGCCCACCGCCGCTCTTCCACTCCCCTGCCCTCCCCGCGCCACCACCACCACCACCCGATCCTACATCACCACTCCCACACCCGCCACCATATATGAACCGCTCTGCTCACTGAGCCACCCTACTCAGCAGCGGCGCCGCCAGCCTTCATGAGGCCTGCAATCGGACAAGCCTTCTCGGGGAGCCCGTGGTCCTCCAAGAACACGGACCACGAGTGTCTGGCCGCGGCGAGCGCCGCCGCCGTCGAGTCGTTGTTGTACTTGCCCCACGGGAAGCTCCTGTAATGATGTGGGCGGACGTGCACCTGCCAGCCGCCGCCAGCATTATCTCTCCATATCGATGTGTTCGGCGACAGCCACGTTTTCGCAAGCGACTGCGGAATGTCAGTGCCCTCAGCAGCAACCTTGATGTCTTTGGGCCAAGCGAAGCCCTTCAGAGGGTTCCCCGCCGCGGACCTGAAGTGCTTGAATATACCGACGCTCGCCTTCAGGAATCGAGGCGGACAGGCGGCGTGGGGGGGGGTGGGCCGTGGGGCGGGGCCACAGGGTGGGGGGGGGGGGGGGGGAGGGAGGGGGGGGCGGGGGGGGGGGGGGGGGGGGGGGGGGGGGGGGGGGGGGGGGGGGGGGGGGGGGGGGGGGGGGGGGGGGGGGGGGGGGGGGGAGGGGGGGGGGGGTTGTGGGGGGGGGGGGGGGGGGGGGGGGGGGGGGGGGGGGGGGGGGGGGGGGGGCGCCAGAAAGGGCACTGAGACCCCCCTGCCCAATCCGCCACCGCGCCCTCTGGCGCGTTAAGTTTGGATCAACTGCTGTACGGCCGGCTTCCTGTCATCTCCTGGGGTGCGGGCGCCTTCAGCAATCGGCCCCTCCTCTAGAGGCGCGCCCGAGATCAGACGCCGAAAAGCCCGAACACACCTCCAAAAGGGCACAGGCAGGCCGTCAAGGTCAGGATACATCCCCCCCTCCTAGGATTCTTTCTCCTCGCCCTTCTCACCATCACCCCTCCTTACCCCATCCTCACTTGCCCCCCATCACCCCCTCACCGCCATCTCCTCCTCCTCCCCCTCCTCATGATCCCCCTCATCCTCCTCATCATTATCAGTGTCGTCCCACTGCTTGTAGCCGCGCCCCCCCCCCATCGACTCGCCTGGGCGTCGTTCATGGATGGGCTGAAGGGGGCGCGCGAACGTCGATAACCGCCGATTCGAACCCACCACCTCGGCGTAAGACAGTCTAAGCATATATCCTCGAGGCGGTCCGTGTGGCCCCTCCCCCTTCAAGACGGCCCGAATGAGCCCGAGACGCCCCAAGCGTGACCCAATGCGCGCCCCAACTGGGCCCTCCCCCTCGCCACCATCCCTCCGATAGCCTTCCACTCGGTAAAACTACACTTGTACTGTTTGAGGGTGCCTGCCGACTTCTTCGCCGCCTCGATCTCGACCTTGACCGCCCCCCGCTCCTCCTCGTCGTAGATGTCCAACACGTACTCCAGCCCAAGGACGTCCTCGATGGCGCCGACGCCCGTCGAAGCCTCCAACTGGAGCTCGCGCTTCTGGAGGATCTGCATGACCTGGTCGGTCTTCAGCAGAGGGAAGCGCTTCTTCACCAAGGCCTCCAAACACGAAATCAGACTATCGTGGGGCCCTGGTGCATCGATGAGCTCGGCCAACTGCTTCAGCCACGCCAGTGGCAAGTGCCAGAAAGCCTCGCGAGCTGCGACATCAAGCAACGCACCCTCCTTGCCATTGATGAGACCAACGATTGTGTGCTTCGTGCAAACTGAAGAATCAGGAAGGTCCACCTTGGTCGTGGGCTGACCGCCGCTGAGATCATGCAGCACGCAGTGAAGAGGAGATATTGGTTCAATCGGCGCCGCCCTCCACTGATTGTGGTCCAGGATCGATATGAAGACCCCTGTCGCGGTATCGCTGGCGTCGGGGATGAAGCAGTCGCCCTTGCGCGTGGCTGGCCAGCCAAGCCCGATTGAATCGGCAATGCAACCAGCTCCAATAAACCATTGGTCGGTGCCGTACTTCTTCAGCGCGATGCGAGGCCGCGCCAACTGAGACAACCAATGGTACTGCATGTTCTGAACACCGCCTGCCTTGGCGGCTTCGTCCAACAAGATCAGGTCGCAGATAGGCGCGTTCATCCTCTGAGCATTGGAGGTGTACCAAGTCGGCTCTCCATAGCCAGCCATCTTGTTGAAGTTCAGCTCCCTCGTGTCAGGGTCCTGTGCATTCGGCCTGAGATGTGGTGCTTCGATGCCTCTTGGCAATTCCATCTGCCTGGCGTAGGGGATGGACAAACGGTCGACGCTCTTGTACTTGTGGGTGGTGCCAATCACGCCCTTATCGATGATTGTGCCCCAGACCCTGTTTGTCGTGCAAACATTGTTGGTTCCCTGGTTCACCTTGACCTTCGCCGCTTTGGAGGCACGAAACCTCCTCATCACCTCTGCGAGGGGCACCATTCTGTTCTGTGCGCTTGGCCGCGAGGTCTTCGATACTCGAGGCGGCTAAGCCACCAACCATAATCTTTACGCTCTAAAACAAATTGAAAGAATCACGACAACGGAAATAACAGAATAATAAACAAAACACCTATACAGCAAATACAACAAACTTAAACCTTCACTACAAAAACTCATAAAAAAATACGCTCGAGGAGAACATTCGGGAACAACCCCCCCCCCACAACACCCACACAAACACACACACACACAAAACAAAAAGCACATACACCACCCCCACACACACACCACACACCACACTACCACAGAATCCACAAAATACGACACACACAAAACACCGAAATACACATCAGCGCAACACCCCCCCCCCCCCCCCTCCCCCCTCCCCCCCCTGAGTGAAACAGTGGGCTGGCAGGCGGGGAAGGTGATGGGACATTCCCGACAAAACAGGTCCGACCCGCCCTCGTCAGCATCGCACCCCTCATCATCTTCATTAATAGTTTCCTTCCCCCCTCTCACCCTGCGTACCACGCATGATACTTGTTCTGTTCATCTGCTGGCGTTGCGCTATGTTCTGCGCCATCACCCCTGGCACCGCTTCCCCGCGCCCCCTCCACCATCCTCCTATTCGTCCTCATCGTCGTCCCTTCCCTCATCGTCTCATCCTCATTCACCCCCACTCCCCCCTCTCCTCCTCCTCCCCCCCCCCCCCGGCACCACCCCCCCGCGCGCCCCCCCCCTCTCCCCCCTCCACCCTTCCCCCTCCGCCCCCCCCTTCCAGCCCCCCCCACCCTCCCCCCCATCCCCCCCCCCCCCCCCGCCACCGCCCCACCCCCCCTCCCACCCCCCCCCACCCCCGCAACCCTCCCCCCCACCCCACCCCCCACCCCCCCATCCACACGCACGACCCACCGCCCCCCCCACCCCCCCCCACCCTCCCCCCTCCCCCCTCCCCCCCCACCCACCCACTCACCCTCGCCCTACCTCCCCGCACCCTTCCTCCCCACCACCCCCCTCCCCCCACCCCCCCCGCCCCGCCCACCACCCCGCCCCCGCCCCCACTTCCATCTCCCCCCTGCACGCCCCCTGGAGATCCAAGGAGGAGGACGAATGGAGGAGGAGGAGGAGGAGGAGGATGAGAAGGAGGAGGAGGAGGAGGATGAGGAGGCGGAGGAGGAGGAGGAGGAGGAGGAGGAGGAGGGAGAGGAAGAGGAGGAGGAGGAGGAGGAGGAGGAAGAGGGAGAAGAGGAGGAAGAGGAGGGGGGGGGGAGGAGGATGAGGAGGAGGATATTTGCACCGCGCGCGCCAGCGTCCTCGGCGTGAAGACCCAGCCCTCCAAGTCGAGAGCCAGCCTCCACTGGTGCACGGTCATCTTGTTGAAGATGCTCCGCTTCTTAAGCCTGTCAGCCCAGGCGGCGTCAACCTCGAGCAACATGTTATAGTTGTCCACGTGGCGCCTGAACTCCGCGATCACGCCGTCGCGGGCGTGGGCGTTGGGGCTCAGCAGCAAAGTGAAGCGACGCGGGAAGCCGATGGTCAGCGGCAGGAGCCGCTGGGCCGACGCCCTCGCCAAGCCAAAGACGCAATCCCACAGCAAACCTGCGTAGGAGTCCGCCACCGTCATCCTGGCGTCGTGGCTCTGCATGGGGACATCTTTGCACTGCCTCCAAGTCGTCTCGATGCCCATGCTGTCGTAACCCAGCCTGTTGCCAAGTGCCGCCATCGCCGATCGAATGTGATCCCACGCCCCTCCAGTCATCATCTCGAGCTCCCACTTCACGGTAGCATCCGCTGTCCTCAACTCTTTATTTTGAGTTCCATGCCATCTCTAAAGTGGCCCAAGCGTCCTGCATATCATCGTCTGTGTGTAGAAATTCCCCATGTCGGAGTACATCCTCGAAGCAAGGTGCAACTGGTTCTCAGCCGAGAAGCTCGCCTTGTCCATGCACAGCGTGGCCTGAGCCATGGTGGCCTCACCCTCCAGTTGCACGGGCGCGATTGCACCGCTACTAGCTGCCGCACCAGCTGGAGCTTTCTTGGCCGCGGTCCTGGCAACTGCCTTCGGAAGAATGCTGTAGCCCAACTGGACACACGTGTACGTGAACAAGAGCGCCTTCGTCGCGAAGAACTGCAGGTCCACCACGCCAGACTTGACTGCCTGCTGGTATTTCTTCAACGTCGTCTTCTCGCCCTCGTTGTAAAGCAGGGAGCACTTCTTCTTCAGAACGTCCAGCACAGCCTGCGGCGGGCGCGAAAGAAAAGGCGGCGACCGTCGGAGTCGGACGCGCGTGAATAACCAGGCTCACGTTTTTCTCTAAGATAACGCCAAGAGGGCGCCAGAGGCATCAATGCCCCGCGAGGGCTCTAGGCCAAGAGGCCCCCAAGGCGCTCTCAGAGGGACCTGCGTAATCAGGCGGAGCTCATCCCCGAGAGTGACTCACTCGTTCTCTCGCGGCGCTTCCGACTGAGGCCAACCAAAGGAACATGAAGATGCGGTGGCGCATCTCGCAGCGCTTGCGACTCCTCCTCCTCTTCCTCCTCCTCCTCCTCCTCCTCCTCCTCCTCCCTGGCCCCCATCATCAGCCCCCGCGCTCGCCAACGCAAAGGATAGCGTTGCGCGAGCGCCCGCAACGAACGAACAATGCGGATACATACGGGCAAGATGAGCCAATTCTGCAGCACTGTATTTCACTCACCGAGACAGCTGCTCTGGCTAGGAAGGCGCCCTCCACACCGTCACAAACAACACCCGCTTAAAACATGAAAAGGCGACCGCCATCACGACGGCGCGCGCGGACCACCTCGGCCCGCCACCAACGCTGCAACATGAAGTATCGAACCCAAGGCATCCCCTTCATCGGCGCCCCCGTCTGCGTTCACCGCCGCCGTCGTCGTCGTTCTCGTTCGCCCCAGTCGGCCTTGGCGGCCCCCTCGTCCGTCGGAGCAATGTCGAGGCCCTGATTGGAGATGATCCGCGCCAGGTAGAAGTTCAGGAGCGGGCAATCTGGGTTTGCAAGGGTGACCAAGTTCTCGTAGGTAGCCTGCCGAACCTGCTTAAGGCGCGGCGGGCTCAGTGTCGAGCCGTGCATCGCATTGCGAGCAGATCTCATCGCCACCTCATGCTTCCACAGACCATTACGCTTCATCACCTCTTTCAGAATGTGCTGGCCAATATGGCTAATGTCGTAGTCGAAAGACACATTGAGCTGCTTGAAGTATGACAAATAATGATCTGCGCACAAGTTATCGGGCCCGATGTCGCTTGCAATATTGAGATGCCGCCAAGTGAAAGGGCATGGATAGCTACCATCGACCTGCTTGATGTTCACCGCCGACAGCCCAACTCCCCATGTATGTTTGAGCATGTGGTCGATGTGCATGCAGGTCTGGAACGACTTCACGCGGTGCCGCTTGCGCTCGGGCTCCAATTTCCCACACGGCACGCCAGCCCGCTTCCTCACAATCAGCTTCGCCTTGTCCATCCACTTGCGGCGGACCATATCAGCGCCCTCCTCGCCCTCGAGTTCCTCCGACGTGACGAACGCCTTGGTCTCCTGGGCGGTGGACGAGGGGTGGTCCGCACGGGTTGAGGGGTGGGGTTGAGAGAAAATCACGCCAGCCCTCTGGGCGTAGGTGGCTCATCCTTCGCATGCGTCTGGGCTGGGGTGGTGGGGGGCGGTGGCGGTGGTGGTGGGCGGGTGGGTGGGGGGAGGGGGAGGGGGGGGGGGGGGGGGGGGGCGGGGGGCGGAGGAGGGGGGAGGGTGGGACGGTGGAGGAGGGGGGGGAGGGGGCGGGCGGATGGCGCGGTGAGGAGTTAGGGCGCCCAAGATGGCCCAAAGCGGCCCCATGAAAGCCTCTAGAGCCCAAGATGGCGCCCAAGATGGCCCAACATACCTCAAGGTGGCTCAAGACAGCCTCCGACACGCACCCAAGAGGCCCCAAGACGGCTCCAATACAGTTTCAAGTGCCCTCCGAGCCGTACAAGGACACCCTCCAAGAACCCAGAATTGCTCCAACATCTAAAGCAAACCAGTGTGTTGTTTGCATTCTCGCCTCGTCGCTACCGATTGGCCCTTGGAGCCTCAAGATGGACCCAGAACAACCCAATGTAGCACCAAGAGAAGCCCACGAATGCACCAAGACGGCACCAAGCGTACCCAAGAACGCTCCAAGAGCGGCCCAAGAGGGGCCCACGCCATTTTTGATCACCCGAGGGTGGAAATGGAGTGGCAACAATTGCAGCCACCCTCTTGCCCTTTCAGCCGTGACCGCTAAGATTGTCCGAAGAGGCCCTGTAGACACCCAGAAAGAGCCCTACGATGGCCCCAAGGCACACCAAACAAATTCCAAGAGGGCACCAAGGTGAACCCAAGAGAAGCCCAACATAGCCCCAAGATGGATCCACCAGACATCAGAGGAAATGCAAAGCCGTTGTACTGCCTGCGTCTACCATCACCGTCAGCACCATCAGCAGCAACCTCAGTAGCACCACAACCACGAGCAACAACACTAGCAGCAGCGTCAGCACGAGCTGCACCACCACCATCATCAGCAGCAGCACCAGCAGCAGCACCACCACCAGCACCACCAGCACTATCAGCTGCACCATCAGCACCACCACCAGCAGCAAAAGCACTAGCAGCAGCACCAGCAGCACCATAATCAGCACCACCAGCAGCAGCAGCATCACCAACACCAACACCAGCGCCAGCAGCAGCACCAGCAGCACCAGCAGCAACACGAGAACCAGCAGCACCAGCACCAGCAGCACCATCAGCAACAGCAGCAGCAGCACCAACAACAGCACCGCCAGCAGCGATAACACCAGCAGCAGCACAAGCAGCAGCACCAGCCCAGCAGCGCAGCAGCAGCACAACCACCACCAGCAGCACGAGAACCAGCAACACCAGCAGCAACACAGAAGCAGTGTAAGCAACAACAGCACCAGCAGCAGAACCCGAGCTCTTCGCTACCAGAGGTCTCCCAATCTAGCGTTGTTGCCCGCGCTGGTTCATGTCTTCTCCCGTCAACTCTCCTGAGCAATGTTGCTGGTGAGGAAACGCGAAGCGTCAAGAATGTATCGCGACAGCCTGGCGATACGTGGCCCATACGTGCTCATGAGCGCGGAGGTCTGGGGCGGAGGGGGTGTGCGCCGAGGAGGGTGCAACCGATGTAGACCGTGCTGGGGATGCTGGCGGGCGCGGAGGGTGGTGTGACCATGAGAGGTGAAGGGCGCAGGAGGAGGCGGTGGCGGGGGTAGGCGAGGCGCAACCGAGAGTGCGGCCGCGAACGGAAACAGTCCAGGAACATGAAGACCAAATGTGTCGCCGACTCCAAACAGCCCTTTAGCGCCTGAGTGGTCTAGGGGCATCGTTCTGCTGAACCCTCTCCTGCTCTTCGGGGAAAGTGCTCCCCCCCCCCCCCCCCCCCCTCCCCCCCCCCCCCCCCCCCCCCCCCCCCCCCCCTCATCCTCACCCCCTGGGCCTGGAGGGTGGCGCGGCGCCCCGCGTGCCGTTAGAGCGCCCAAGGTGGCTCAAGATGGCTCCCTAGAGGGCTCCAGGCACACTGTGGCCTCCAAGGTCGTGCAAGATAGCCAAAGATGTTTCAATGTAGCTATCAACATGCATTAGCTCTCGAGATCGCCCCAGAACGGCACGCCCCAAGACTGCTCTCAAGATACCAAAATCATTCAAACCCATTGCGTGTTCAATGTGGACTCTGCTTTGCGTAATCACCTTTTCGCGCCCGATCTGCTCTTGAGGCATCAACGTTGCTCGAGGATTGGCCCAGAGGAGCAAACGAGCGTAAAGGCAGTTTCAAACGCGCCAGGGACCGCAGCAAGAGCGACCCAAGATGCACCCCGTAACATTATTTTCGGGTCCCGACGGTGGGGCGCACTTAGAGTGCCACCCTCCCCCATTGCATTGATGGCCTCCAGGCTGTCACCAAGAGAGTCACTATAAAGGGCCGCAATGCCTCCAGGAGGCCCAAAGAAAGCCCCAAGAAAGCCCCTAGAGAACCCCAAGATTGCCCAATCTGCATCCAAGATGGCACCCTCATGACCCCCAAGGCCTCCAAGAGAACACCAAGACCGCTCCGCGAGCCCAAGAGAGCACCACGAGAGCACCAAGAGGGCCACAGAACCCAGCATGGAACCAGGGCCCCGCGATGGCACCAAGAGGCCTCCACGACGCACTCAGAGCAAACGATATGCAAATACGTTGATGGTCGACTCCCGTCGCCGTCGTCTTCTTCGGTCTCGTCGTCGCGTCCGTCGTCCCATGTTTCTCGTATTCATCCGAATCCTCATCCTCAACCTCTCCCCATCAGCTTCCTCCTCCTGCTGCCGCTGCTACATGTACTCATCATCCACGTCTTCATCGCCCCCCCTGCGTCAACATGCGCACGTGCTCGAAACGGGGTGCAGCGAGCGCAAGGTGGTCACGTAGGTGACAAGACGGATGCCGCAACATCCCTCATCAAGGCAACTCGCCCGGCGATCGTGTTTGGATGGGCTGGTGTGGATATATATTCGAAGCGTGAAGAATTGAGTACTAAGCCATGGCCAGTACAAAAACAAACTCGCCCGACGGCGGGCCAACAACCCCTGAGCTCACCTAACCCCGCCCCTCCCCCCCTCCCCACATGGAGCCCCCGCCACATCCCCGAACTTCCAAGCGCGGTTTCAGCCTCGGCAGGGCCACGCTCTCCCGAACTCTGGGCGCCCAGATCTGCAGAAACGCATGGAACCAAGGGCGACGACAGCCCTCCTCCCTCCCCTGCACCCCGTCCACGCCCACATCCAGTGGCAGTAGTCCAACCCTCGGCTGGAGTAGGCTTCATAAACCTATGATTGCGATGAGGAGGATGAGGAGGAGACGATGTCAGCGGGCGGCCGGCTTTGATATCAAGGTGCATGCCTCTCGTATCCTAGTTTGACTCCCATCCTGTCCTCACCACCTCACCATCCCATAATACATGTCTCGCCGCATGCGGCGAAGTGCATGCACCCCCTCCTCTGAGGGCACACGACACTCGCAAGAACGTAAGGCCTGGGCGTCGCGCTGTCCGCGGCACCAGACGCGAAAAAAATCGAGTTGTGTCACCGACAATGATCTCACATGGCGCTTCAGCGCTTCGGTCCTCTCCCTTCTCACCTTCCCTCACCTCCCCTCCACCCATATGTATGCGCTCTCTCCCCTGCGTGGGAGACACGCCCCACAGACAACGTAAGGTCAA